GATAGTCTGTCACCTCCAAAACTTCAAGTGAAATGATGTTTTTCTTTAATTGGGGAACGAACCTCACTTCATCCAACTCCTGAATCATCCCGTTACACATCCCAATCCGAAAGGTACCAATACCACCAATAGAACATGCATGTTCATTACCCATGAGCACGACATCTCCTCTTTTCAACTCCTAAAAACTAGATAATCAATCCCTCTTAGGACAAATGTGATAAGAAGCACCCGAATCCAACATCCACTCTGTAGAATTGGCAGCACAAACTGATGGTAGTGCAAATAACGAATAGCCTGAAGAATCCGAATATGAATTGTTGCCACTAGACTTGACAACATTCACCTCTGAAGCTTGTACAACTTTTCCCTTATTCTTCCCGACTCGATCTAACTTTGGGCATTCGGCTTTCTAATGTTCATCCTCTTTACAAAAGGCACACTGATTTTTATGAGCTGCAAAGTGTGCACCTCTAGACTGCGACCTCCTACTACGGTTTGGACCACGGCCTTGAACTGCTAATGCATCTCCCGATGCCTTCTCGGAGGGTTCGTCAACACTCTTCCTCAACTCATAATTCACCAACACTGAGGTCACCTCCTTATAATTAACAATCGTTCTTCCATTAATCATAGTGAGAACAAAAATACCATAATCATCCTCGGGCAACAGACACAAATGTAGCATCGCCTTATCTTCATCCTCAACCATGATATCCATATTGGCCATATCCGAAAGCAGCTTTATGAAGTTATTATCATGCTTCCTAATTAAAACTCCCCTCTTCATCTTGAACTGGTAAAACCTCTTCTTCAAGTAAAGTCGATTCTCAATGCTCTTAGTAAGGTACTTCTCATTGAGCATTTCCCATAATTTCTTCGCCGACGTCTCGTTCATAACATCATAAATAAGATCCGGCGTCAAGCATGACTGAATAACTCGACAAATCCTATTGTTCATCTTCTTCCAAACCTTGTCCTCCATATCTATAAGTTTGTCTTGTAACTCAAGAGTCTCCTCCAAATTCTGTGCGTCCAACGCATCCATCACCTGACATCTTCACAAACCAAAATTAATCTTGCCGTCGAACTTCGGAACATCAATCTTTGTATTATTGATGCTCAGACTCTGTATCGCCTTCGTAAGATACGATCCCGATGTGCTTGTTTCACCCATGTTGTAGATCTAACTCTTCAAATAAGAATCCTTCAGCGAATCCTTCGAACAAGCCCCAAGTCAAAACCTGGGCTCTGATACCACTTGTTGTGCGCAGCGAAAATTTTGACAGCACATCTGGTGCACAACAAGAGAGTAGATCTCAACTAAATCATTGTTTCACAAAGGAAACAAGAACCAAAAATGATATATATCAACAAAATGGGATATACATTATTCCTCTCATCAGTTCTAGGACTGACTTGTCGAGAGAACCTAAACAATCTATTACAAATCACAGCAAGATAACAGATTTTACGTGGTTTGGCAAGTTGCCTACGTCCATGGGGCAATGAGGGAGGAGATCTATTATTAGAGAGAGAGAATACAAATATGGTTTACAATCACACAAATTAAACTCTCAAATAAGCTCTCACAAATATCTCCTCTTAAAACAGCCGACACCTCTGTACTTCTTCCCAAAATACAGCCGATAAAATAATCTGCTGTTTTTCTCCGCACTTGCACGCCGGCGCCCAATCAAACTCGATTTTCCCCTCTGTCTGGCACACAAAACCCTAGGAGAAAAATAAGTATTTATAAGCTCTCAAGAGTTAATCAATCTCACACGTCCTTATCTCCTCACATCGGTTGTAAATGCAAGCCCAAAACCACACAAGACCCTCACACGTCCTTATCTCCTCATGTAGATGTGGCCCCCACCCACGCCCCACGTTCACAACTACTAAAGGAATACATTTGTAATTTGCTAATATAGAATTAAATATACGTATATAATCATGATAAATTACATGAAGATACCACCGGGACAAATTTTTGACTACGCCATTGCATGGATAAAGATTAACGACTAGTTTACAGCTTAAATGATCAGCCCTAAATTTGAGAAGGTGATATTCTACATGAAAGAAGGATATTGATCCTTTTTTACACCTATATATTTTACACGTTCTACAACTTATTCTCCATAATAAAAAAATATTGCAAGTGAAAATTTTACTTCTCCGAGAAAGAAAATATTTCGTTTCTTTCGATATTAGTCCCTCAAATAAATTGAAACTGAATTCCGACAGAATGATTCAAAACATTAAAGTTTTAAGGAACTAATACAGAATAATCTCAAAAAAAAAGAAAAAAAGAAAAAAGGAAAAAGAAAAGAAAAGTGAGTTAAGTGCGCACAAAGTAACCAACCACTAATTGCTTGCGTCCGAAATAAGAGGTAGGTAAGAAAAGCAGCAAGAAGAAAGAAGAGGAAATCGGAAAGAGTAAACTTGGGGGGAAAATCACATGTCCAGCACTCCAGCCTATCTACTGCTAGCACGTACAAAAAGAGAAGTTACAAAAAAAAAAAAAAAAAAAAAGTTAAAAAAAAAAAAAAAAAACAATAGTCCAGAATATTTATTCCAAACATAGAAAAATTGTGTACGTTTCATTAGAAAAATGCATGCGGATAATGGATGTTAAATTATCCATCACATAGAAAGTAGATATCCATAAAAGGAATAGATAGTTTGGATTACCATAAAAATTCCATACATGATACATCCATCTAATGGATGTTAAAGTATCCAATGAAACAAGGGCCTTTCAATTGTAGGTATTTTGAAGGAAATTTTTTTTTTAAATTTTTTGCCAAATTATAAGGTCTGCAGTTAACTTTTTTGGTTGTATTTTCAGCACAAGATTACATAATGATGTGCCGCTTATAGCTCTCAAATGAAGATTTTGCTATAAAAGGCTTATTTTGCTGGAAACTGGAAATTCTAACAGAAAACATGAAGAAAATAAAAATCAACAGACTCCGTGCCAAATCAAACTGAGTAAAAACTCAGAAGGAAATAAAAATATGGTGACGTGGAGGTCACTGGGTCCCCCGCCACTGAGGGACCACTTTCGGGTGCAAATTCTACGAGTGCACTAAATTAAAAAGTCCGCCGACTAATATAGAGACAAATCCACGAGAACCGCTAATTAAGTATATATTCGGCACGTGTTTGTATGCTGCCGACGAGCCGCTCCTACGCTTACACGTCCATCGCACTCGATGTCTCTGTACAAACAGCAAACAGCCTTTTGACGAAACTCCAAACTTACACGTGGTCGCACCCGTTCCAGGCGTAAAATATTTGATTTTCTCTGTATTTATCTGCAAAAAAACCGCTGAAACTCAGACACTCGAGCTTGAGAGCGAAAAGAGACTAGGGTTTTCGGGGTTGAAAATTGCCCTTCGATTACCCTGCTTAGTGTTGGTAAAAATGTCATATTTTTTGTATAATTTGGTTAATTCTTTGTTTGTGCCCATTTGGCTTGGCAAAGTCTACCCTAGTTCTTAATTAATTGCCCACATTGTCAATTTGTTCTGACCTCTCATGTAGATATTCTAATGGTTGCCATCATTTGTATATAAAATTTATGTAAGGTGATGTTTTAGATCACAAAGGAGTTAAATGCTTGAATAGAATTCTAATCATCCTACTTCATTTTGATGGCGGCCAATGAAGTGGTCAAAAAGCATTAGTTTTGTCGGTTTTTTTTTTTAAATTTTTTAATTTGGTAATTAGGCGACATAATTACTGTTTTTTCTGTCATTTTATTTATGGATTAAAAACGTTTATCTCTTGGTGGCCATACAAAAAACCCATCGACTTAGTTATCCTAAAAAGAGTAAAAATAATATTTTCTCATGACAATGGGTGACGCTTGGGCCATTTTTACATGCTCTATGAGGATTGGATAAGTGTTGTACATAGAGATTAAAGTTGTTCTTCAGTTTGGATCGGGTGAAGCCATAATCGAACCTTGCTGGTGTGGGTAAATTTCCATAATTTATGATTTGATCCAGATTTTACTTGTTTGCTTTGTGCAAATTATGTTTTTTAGAAATCAATGTACATATACTGCATTTATGGCTCATTAGTTCAAAATTTTAGTCCAAAAAAATTGGAAAGTCAAGGAGGTTATCACACTCTTCTTATTTTTTAGTTCAATTTTTTATTTCATTCTTCTTATTAGCACTTATCAAGAAATTAAATTTTTAATCTAATCCTCGCAGTTCGTATCAAAGTCAAAATTTTCCCTAGCATTAGCCCGTACAACTTCCGTACTTCATGCTTTCGTTTGATTTTGTCCAAGTCCACCTTATTTTTTTAATTAGCTGTTGCTTTTGTGTTATATCTGTTGCCTCAACGTTTATATAATGCATTATTATTCTACTATCTATTTTTGCATGTGTACATTATTATAGAAATTGAATGTTTATAAGATATCACAATCATTAAAGTCTTCAGCTTGATGAGTTGCACCTGATCTTATAATATGACAAGTTATTAAAGCCACTAAAGTTCCAAGTAACCTCACATTTTTCATTACTATTTTTGAGTTAGGCAAGAGGATTTTGTTATCGATTCCTGAATATGGCTGTATGTCTTTTTGACCAATACAAACTATATTTCGTACTTGATAATATCATGAGCCTAAGTACTTTAATTATATTAGGAATTAATAAGTTTTATACTTTGTCCATTCATCATTTTAGTTGAGGGTTCATTTATATGGCCATTTATTAAGCATTCAGCCATTTATTAATCATTCGATTATGTAGTATGTTATCTAGCTGGCTGAAAATTTCTTCACAATCCGTCGCTGCCAATAACTCAATCTTTCAATTAGGAGTGAAGGTTGCGATTCAAGGAGTAATTAGTAATTTACAGAGCTGAAGAGAGAAGGATTCTGGTTCATGTAAGTGTAGATGATATCAAAAGAATCTCGTCAAATTTGGGATCTTCTTCCTGTATTGTGGAGACGCTTCATATACTTCTAGTTTATTTACAAATAACAAACAAAACATCTGTCCTCTTTTTTTTTTTTTTTGTAGTGGGGTTTATAAACCATGATTAAACTCTAAACCTTACGCTGTTGGTATATTGTTTATCTACGCCATGGTGCCATCATCTGCTACAATTTTATATAAGCTATCAAAAATTTAATGTTTTGTTACCAAATTGGGTTCTTTGTTTTTTGTCTGTTTTGACTTGGAAAAGTCTAGCTTAATTCTTAGTTATTTGTTCCCATTGTTAATTTTTGCCGACCTTTCAATATCTAATAGTTGTTTTACATTTTTTTTTATATAACATTGTTCCAAGGTGATGTTTCAAGATATTTTTGAATCACACCTAAGTTTATAATATAGAAATTTAATGAAATACGAAATGAATTCAATGTTCGATTTAGAGAATTTTAATCATCCTACTCCATCTTGATGGCAGTGGACGAAGTGGTCAAAAGCCTCATTTCTTCAGTAACATTTTTCATTTTTTATGTGTTCTCATACAATATAATTTGTTTATTTATCAATTTCTTTTTTAAAAAAAGAAAAATTATCAATTTCTTTATATGATTAGATGTCTTATACATGGATTTCTAATGTTGAGACTATAGATCTCTTGGTGACCATACAAAAAAGAAAATGACCATCTTCCTAGTTATCCAAAAAAAAATCACGATAATGGGATGACACTTTGATCCTTTAACCATGTTTTATTTGGAACGGATAAGCATTGAACATTTCAGAGTTGAAGTTAGCCTTTCAATTTGTATTTGACGAATTCATCATCGGGCCTTGTTGATGTTGGTAGTCACGACCTTTTCCTTCATTATCTCGGCTCTCTGTTGCCATTACTTTATAAATTAATTTAAATTTTGCTAAATTTACTTTTGTGAAATTTATATTTGTCACAAATTTATATATCATGTATCTGATGGCTCATTCATCCAACTGTTAATGATTGTAATTACCTTTTAAAAGTGGCTATATTCTGAAAGACTTGGATAGTCGTGGAGGTTATCATGCTGTTGTTATAATTCCTTATATTTGTCAATTCGTTCATGACAATTTTATACAGGTCAGATAATTCATTATCTTTTTTGTTAGCCCTTATCAACAAATTAGATTGTTTATCTACTACCCTAACATTAGGGAGTACAAGCTCCGTACTTCATGGTTCACCTTATGTTCTTAATTAGCAGTTGCTTGTTTGGATTATATATATTGCCTCAACTTTTAAATAATGCATTATCCATTTTACTATCCGTTTGTACTTGCATGTAAATCTCTATATTACATATAGAAAGCGGAAAGTTGCAAGATATCATTGTCATCAAAGTCTTCAGCTTGATGAGTTGCACCTAATAGTATAGTATGGTAAGTTATAAGAATATGAACTAAGTACAATGCTTGAGTTGTATAAGAATATAATTATAATCATCCTTGTGTCACCAAATGGAAGCCTTGCTATGAAGTTTCCACGAACCTCATTTTGCCATTTATCATTTTAAGTTAGGATACTGGACTTGTGTTCTTAATGTGATTTATTATTTAGATTTTTTTATATGAAAATTTATCAAGTGTTATAGATGAAAGAGTCTACGAAAATTAATTTGATATTGTGTTCCTCTATCCATTCAGTTGAGGGTTCATGTAACTGGCCATGTATTAAGCATTTAGTATGTTACATGTTACAATGTAGTCTTTTAATTTGTACAGTTGAAGGCCATCTCTTTATTTTTGGATGTTTGTAAGTCATCTTTCTGACCTCGGCGATGCTAAATATAGTTAAACTTTGTTTTCTGTCAGAATCCAGTTCAACTCTAGAGAACTTTTGTTACTTTTAATGTATTTAATATATATTTTAGTAGTTTACTTTGTGAAAGCGAGTTGCTTGAAAAGGTTACGCGTAGGAATTCGAGCGATGGGATATTATAAACCGAATGAGAGCCTGTTCGTTCATGATCAAATGAAACTCATAATTTACATCTATGTTTCGAACAAATAGAGTTTAGACGAATCCGACGCCCCAAGCCTATTGAATAGCCATCCAACGAATGAAACGAATCCCTGTGACGGTTCGAGCTACATCAGACTACACGGGGCAGGTCATACTATACGAATGAAACGAATCCCTGTGACGGTTCGAGCTACATCAGACTACACGGGGCAGGTCATACTATAAGTAGGCGTCGGCCAGAAGGAAACCAACTGTTATTATTGGAAGTCACAAGGTTTGAAGATTTCCCGCCCTGACGTCTCTCTTTTGCCTTAAGAACGGTCCATTGCCTTTGGACGACTAAGTCAGCTCGGTTTAATCTCTTTCTCAGCCAGTGACTAATCTAATCTCCCCAAATCGTGCAACAGTAAGCACCACTGGGAAGGCACATCGAACTATAATATAATGAGTAGGGCCTGCAGAAGGAAAGCAATCAATTCACATAGTAGGGAAGCGCTGCTATCAATCTTCATAGGCTAGTGCTAGTCAGCTATGAATAGTGTATCATATTTTTCTTATCTGTTGCATATTTTTTTATCAATTCCATGTTAATTTCTTCACAGTAATGAGATGGCATTGGATCCTTTAACCATATTTTATTTGGGACGGATAAGTGTTGAACATTTTAGAGCTGAAGGTTGTCTTCAGTTTGTATTTGTCTTCATTGGGTCTCGTTGATGTTGTTAATCACTATCTTTTCCATAATTATCTCGGCTATAGTTGCCATAAGTTTATGATTTAATATAATTTCTTAGTTTACTTTTGTGAAATTTATGTGTACCAGAAATTTATCATGTATATACTTTTGCATGTTATGGCTCTTTAGTTCAAATTTTAAGTCCAAAAAGTTGTGAAGTCAAGGATGTATATGTATTGTTCTTGACGTTGCTTATCTCTGTCAGGTCATTTGCTAAAGTTTTATTTAGTTCTGTCATTTCATTAACAGTAAACGGATCTGAACCAATGACTCCCGCCGTATGAAAGCAATACTCTAACCACTGAGTTAAGTAGGTTATTTATCATAAAAAAAGGGACCCATCTCCTCGAAGATTATAGATGGAATATTATTTCTAAGCAATACCAATTCACTAACAGTAAACGGATCATAAAGCTATCATGTGGGATCCTATCTTGACAAGAAATTATCTATATGCTAAGATATCTATGTCAATATGACAAGGGCTATAGCTCAGTTAGGTAGAGCACCTCGTTTACACGTGCGCCAATGCTTTTCAAGGAAACCCATTATGCAATGAACATAATTGATCTTATTGAAAAATCGATGTCTTACATCGTGTATTTACACGATATCTCCAGCCCTTGTCAACATATTAGATTCTTTATCTAATACTTGCAGTTCACATCAAAGTCAAATTTCCCTACCATTAGCCAGTACAAGTTCCCTATTTCTTGGTTTGTTTTGGTTTTGTACAAGTCCACCTTATGCTGTTAATTGTCAGGGTTGTTTGGATTATATATATTGCCTCAACTTTCAGATAAGGCATACTACCCATTTGTACATGACATATAGTTGTTTATATTACATATAGAAAGCAGAAAGTTATAAAATATCATTGTCATTAAAGTCTTCAGCTTGATGACCGCATTTTGCCATTTGGAGGCCAAGTGTACTAGAGATGAAAAACGTATTATCATTGATTTTCTATTTTCACAGATGATTCTTAAGATTGTAGAGTTGGACGCTATCCTTCTCTTTTAGGTTTGTGCTAAGTCATCTTCTGACCTCTGTGATACTAGAGATAGTTAATTTTGTTTACTGTCATAATTCAGTTAACTTTTAATGGACTTTTTGTTAGTTTACTGCTTAACTTCATGTTTTTCTATCTGCGGATGAAACAATATTGGTCTGTTGCATATCGTAGACATTGCTTTCCATGTACACTAAGCTCATATATGTCAACAGCATCCTTTCTTATACCTTTATCTATTTTCAAATATCTTCCTTTATCATTATATATTCTTAATTTCCCTACCAGGTTGCAAATTGAGAGGTTTTATATGTCTGGTTCACAGTTCTGAAGGCGTAGGAACTCCGCAAACGGAGACACAAAACTCTATGAAAGTAGAGAAAGAGGAAGACAGATGAAGAGGTTGAGAACAAATCTCAGTCTCAATTTTGGTTGACTGTTCTTTCATCAGAGTTTCAAATTCTGTTGTTCTATGAAAAAGAATGTTAGACTTGTGAAACCAAATGTTCTGCAGTTCATATCAGTTTATGTTGGAAGTAAAATCAATTTGGTATACTTTTTTTGGATCAATACGTGTGTATATTTTCAGAATCTGTTAATGAACTGGCTATGACTGTGGCATGTTGGTGCGTATACACAAAATACTTTATTCACACAAAAGATGCATGTATGTGTATTCAATCAGGTATGCATGTGCAGGTGTGATTCACGCCAATTTGTGGGCTATTTCTGTGTTCGTAGCGTATGTATGTGCACAAGAGGGATCCATGTGCTGAACGGGTGTGTACTGAATATTTCAGTATGCGATGGGGATTTATGTGCATAAGGACTTCTGTGCTGATTGTTAATTTGGGGGGTGGATACCAACCTCTGCACCGGCGAGGAGCTCCGACGAGCTCGATGTCGACGAGGCGAAGCCACAGGTGAGGTCCAGGCGATCTTCGGCAGCGCCCCCCCGAGCTCTGCGTTCGAGCTCGAGCCCCACGTGCGAGCGCCTCCACCCAACTCTGCGTTCGAACGCAACCCTGCGTTTGGCGATGGCGTCCTTTGCGTTCGAGCGCTCCCACCTCTGCGTTCGGCCTCGAATTTGGCGTCGAAGCAGTCGCTGGCGACAGGCTGTCGCCAGCCCTCCACCTCCGCCTATAAAAGAGACCCCATGCCCTAGGGTTTAGCTGCTGAAGAACTTCCCCCTCTCCTCCGATTTCTCCTTCTCTGGTGGCGGCGGCTGCCCTAAAATCGCAGAGGCGATTTTTCTCCAGCTCTCAACGCGATTTTGAGAGAGAGAGAGGGGATTTAAAAGGAGAGAGAGAGAGAATTAAAGAGGGTTTAATTGTGGGGTATCATTTATTCTCAAGTTGAGAATTGAAAGGGGTTCATACCCTTTGATTATTAACACTGTAGCTACAGTGTTTATCTGAGAAATCTCAGTTTTGAGATACGCTCCTAAATTGTAATTTCTTGTTTAATTAATAAGAAATTATCTGTGTGGCTCCCGAGGACGTAGGCAGTTGCCGAACCTCGTTAAATCTTGGTGTACTTTTCTATTCTGCGTTTCTGTTGCAATTAGGGATTTAGGCATTAAAATTCCTAACAAACCATTGATCAACAATCAACAATATACTTCACTCCGGAGAGTGGATAACATGAAACGAACTCGTCAAAAGGTAGATGACAGCGGATTGTGGAGGAGTCAAATTGATGATCTGAGAGTTGGATGTAAGCGCTAGCACCTCAGGAACAACACGCTAAAATTTTGTCTCGATTGGACAACGTTTCGCCTTTGATCAAGGATAAACTCTCTGCTGGTTGGAATTTTCAGGCAACTCACATTCGCTTGTTCTCTCTACTTCTCATTATTTTGCTAAAACTTGCAACCAATCCTTAGGGCTTTATATAGTCATCTCCTGGCCAGTTGCCAATGCAAAAGGTAATGCATAATTGCTCTTTCATATTCCCATGGGCAACCTTCAAACTTCGTTTACTTTGCATCCTCCAATGCAACTTTCAAGCTTATATGCTCAGCACCATTTATGCTTCTTGGAGTCTGGATCTTACTAGGAGGGAATCCCGACACTTTAGGCTTTTTTTAAACTCTTGTTCTCTATATTCTTAAAAATCTACACGCTTAAAATTTTAAATGAAGTTCTCTGTCTACTATAGATTTCAATTGATTTTTATTTCAAGTTTTCAGTGCTAATTTATCTTTGTCATATTTTGGTTCCATGGACTGTTTTTGGCTTCAAAGAATTTTCCAAATAAATTGTTTGACATGCATGGGCAACTATGTTTAAGACCAATCAACATCTTTCCATGCTATGAACTAATAGCGAGTGCAGCCTTTACGTTTGTGTTGTTACATAGTCAAGCAAATCTAGATTATCTTGTATTGTCTACTTTAAACTTATTCCAGATCTTTTCAGCTTCAATTATTTTAAACACGTCCACTAAATTTTTAAAAGTTTTAAGTTTTTATATAATTAGATTAGCAACTTTTACTAGAATGTTGAACTAGTTTTAAATTTCCAGATATCTTTGATTTTCAATTTCTTCACTAATTGAATGCTTTTCAAACATATATAGTTGAAACAATATTCACAAGCTTATCAAATGTATGTATTGAATTATTTTTTCCCCCGATAGTACTTGTAGCCCAACTTCACTTAGTGACATTTGCTATGATATTAAATACTTTTCAAACATATGAAATGTATGTACTGAATTGATTTTGTTTTTTCTTCTGAAGTACTCGTATTCTGAAATATAGAAAATTTTATAACGTCATCAAAGACATTCGTTTAGCAATTTCCTATGAACTTTTAACAGCATTCGGAACATTTCACATCTTTCTAATATTTTTTTAAATCAAAATTTCATATTGTTGACTTGTTCTTCTTTTGTTGGTTAGTTGTGTTCTCGAGTCTAGAAAACAGCCTTGGTTTTTCAAAGAAAAGACAATACACTTTCTTGAAGTAATATTTGAACTTTTCAAGATACAAAGACTATCTTTAGCTAAATAATATTTTGAGTTGTTTTGTCTAATTTGCTTATTTCTTCTATTTTTATCTGTAGAAATATTTTTTAATGAAAATTTTATTTAAATGTTGCTTCTAAACTTTTGAACTTCTAGTACTACCTTTCACTTTATCATACGTAACTATGTTTTATCTGTTTTCCTTGTCTGTGTCGAGTAGTTATATTTTGAAGTAGTATTGTTTTGCTTATTAAATTTTTAGTGACGTGTCTCTACTTTTGTCTAAATCATGTGTTCTGAAGTGTTAAATTTTTATTATTCGTAATTTTCAAGATAATGTTATATAATCCATAATGCCTTGATCAATTTTTAGCATTCCAGTATTTCATTTACTTAAACTATCTTCCGTGATGATTGTACATGGATTATCCATTACAAAATTTATATCATCATTAATTTTGGAAACAAGTTTTTACATGCTTCCATGTAGTAAATCTATCTTAATTGTGTATAGAAAGTCTCTGCACGAGCGCTTTACTTGAATTACGACCCCAAAATTTGGATCTCGATGACAGAGGTCTCTCGACGATTTGATATCGTCCTCATTGTCGATCTCTGCCTTATTGATCTTTTCTCGAGCGCAAAGTCAACTCCACCATTTGTTTGTCAGATCCTTAAAGAATGATCATTTGTTAGATCCTTAAAGAAATGATCATTTATTGTTAAATCCTGAAAATGATCATTTGTCGTTAGATTCTTAAAGAAGGATCCTTTCGAATCCTTCAAAAAAGTATCATTTGTTGTCGGATCCTGAAAAGGATCATTTGTTCTTGCATCCTAAAAGGATTATTTGATTGGTGGAGCCCTAGAGGGGACTAACTGATTTGAAGATATCCAAGTGAAAAATAAGAACAAAATTATTTTGA